ACTGAAGCGAGATACAAGATACAATTAGAGAAACGAAATCTGGTTTTATGAAAATTACTTCAATGTTATAGCTCTCACTCAAACAGCTGCAGCAGATGAGAGGCTCTGAAGGAAGTATGGTTTCTAATCTAGCCAGTGACACTTCATGAAAGCGAGTGGATCTGTAGGTGTTTGTAAAGTTACCAAACAGTGTATTTTCCCTTTATGCAAATCCAGCTTCTTCCAGAGACAGAACAGAAACACTGAGCGCTGCAAACCTGCTAAGAAGCCTTCTCAAACTGTTGAGAGGGCCTGTGAGACACGCAGATGAAAGCCACTGTCCTTCAGAACTGCGTTTCCGCAGCAAGCACGGCCCTCGGATGAAGCGTTTATGTGGTTTTGTTCACAGCAGCTTCGGTAAGAGAACTGCCCATTTTCCTCCTGAGAATACGTGAAGGCAAATAAAGGTGCCACAGAGTCACTGCACTGCAAGTTTTGGGAAATGCAACTAATCGGCTACCCAACACAACCCTTCTCTCAGGAAGGAACAGCCCAGCACTCCACAGGGAAAAGGCACCACCCGGCACATTTCACATGGACAGAGAAAGTCTGAGGCCATCAGGAGGGTGCGGTTGGTAGGGCAGTTATCAGAGCAGGGAACAATGCAGAGCTGACAACTCCTATCTCTCACCTTTCATCAGGAAATATCAGCTAGTTTCCTTATTACCAACTGCCTGGGCGACTCATCTGTACTTCTCGGGAGAGCAGAGCAGCAGTTAACCAGTAACTCCCCTGAGACACGGAAAATGCAGCGTGTTAAGCTAGTTCTGTCTGCACAGCTCACCAAATGAGGTTTAAAGAAAGATGACCTTTGATTTAAAGCTCTTTTAGTCAGTCCATCAATGAATAATAATAATAATAAATCTCCAACGGAAAAGGAGAAATGTTAGAGGCAAACTAAAGCCTGGCCCACTTAACAGGTTCACATTTGCACATTCAAGCTCAGTTAACATCATTAGCAGCAAATAAGCAGAATAACTTCACAGCTCAACAGCCTCTTCAGTTTGAAGTCAAAACAGAGCAATACTCAACCTTTCCGAGCAACACAGCGTTTTGGTGAATTCTTGGCACACGCCAAGAAGCCCCTTGCAGCTGCTGGGCACCTCATCTGCTTTCACCTGAAGGGAAAACAGCCAGACACCTTCTGGACACCAGGTGAGAGCTTCTGGATTTGGGCTCCATTCGCTATTTGACAGCGGCCCAGGTCACTGCAGTCCCTTCCATTCATGCCACAAATAAAACGGTTTTAACCACCTTTTATGAAGGCTGAGTGGACACATCCATAAGAAAGTGAAACAGATAAAAGAAATACTAGGTCAGCAGCATTCCATGCTCTCAAATAGGTACTTAAGAAAGTCACAGCAGGCTCAAAGAGTTTTTCCTGCATAATCTCCTTAAAAATAAGTTTGCAAGAGCATATGGAAATATTTACCCCTCAGCCTGGCTCTGACCACATCAGCGGGGAGTTTCGCAGGAGAAGCGGTTGCTTCACCACCTCCTTCCCGACAAGGTTTCCGCAATCCAGCGATTAAACCCTCACCAGGACGGGGCTGCTGCACTGCCTGGGGTCAAAGCCCAGGTTCTCTCTGCTCTCCCCTTTGCTGCTGCGCTCCTGAAGGCAAAGGGCTTACAGACTGGGTGCCCTCTCGACCCGATTTACAGAAAAAGATCTTAAATCCCCAAAGAGCTATTTCAGTTATCTTACATATGATTACATTCAACTTTTAGTTGTTGATTGCAAAGTGTTTTAACCATGTGCTTCAAAGAAAACTGCTATTACCTTTACATGTGCCTCCAGGAAATGCACCCAGTCACCACTTGTTATTACACCTGTGATCAATTTTGAGCACTAATATTTATATTTGTGCTTGATAATCAGGGAATTAGCCTCACTATTTATGGCTGCAATTAGCACTGCCTGCAGAGAGATGGAGGCCAGCTTTAACAAATAAATAATGAAACCCAAAGGCTCAGCAGGGAGGGACAGTCTGGAACAGCACTAAGCCATCTCCAAGCATTAGTGACAAGTATCTGTTAGCACCAACAGGCAGCTGTGCAATTTCGGAGGGAGCTGCTTGAACCACAGTGGGTCAGCACGTAAGAACCCACAACCAGCAATGGGGCCCCTGCCACCCCAGTGCCCTTCGGGGCAGTGCAGAGCTGGGAAATCTCATCTGACATTGCCCGTGGTGCCCAGTGCTCTGGCCTGGCACAAACCAGCCCGGCCTTTTTAGCTTTGCTTAAATCAGTGCAGTTCCTCCCGCCCGAGCACGGGCTGCCAGGGAGAGGGGCAGGCCGGGGCGCTCCCAAGCTCCTCGGGTCAGGAGAAAGCAGTGAAAGAGGAAGATCGGCCGCAAGGTCCTCTGAGCTCAGCTCCAAGGGACTTGTTTCAACGAGCAGGTCGACAGCTACTTTATCCTGTGTCCAAATTGCAAGAAAAATCAGCTAAGATTGTTGCTCTTGTAACAGACTTCATTCTGGAGTACTCACTAACCCTGTTTCAACTGCATGATTGACTGCTTCCAATCTGTACCTTGAAATATAAACAAAGAAAACTGTTTTGAGAGGAAATGCTACAGGCTTTGGGCTTTCCTCTGGAGACACAAAACACTAAGGTATCCTCTAGGTTTCACACTCACTGTAGAGTGAGTAGGACAAGAGATTTCACAGTTCAACAAGCTCAGTATACAGAAATGGAAATAATCCAGCTGAAATAAACACCGAGAAACAGTTTTTTGTTGGTTTATTTAAACAAACATAAAACTATCCATTCGCAAATCTCATTAGGCTTGCAGAACCTTCATTTGTGTTATTACCTTTCACCAGGTCTTATAAGATCATCTTCCAGTGGCTGCTTGGGTAGAAGCAAGTAGAATGACCAGTCCCTTTAAATAATTTTAGAAAGCTTCAAAATAACAGCATAGTTCATCAGAATGGACACATGCAACTTGCAGTATAATCAATGTATTTCTCACTGTGTGTGTGTAAACATATATTTCAGCACAAGTCAGAAAAAACTTTTAGTTTACCTAGCAATTCTCCAGTAGGCAAGGAAACAATTATAAGGGGAACAATAAAGCATATTAAAGGTCATATTTTATTGGAACAAGCACTAGTAAGAAGGCTTATTATTATTACTATTCCTACACAGTCCCCCATTTAACTCTGAGAGCAGAGAGAGCCCTCAGAGTGGCACAAGTATCATTTACTGTCATGAAAGCCCTAAAGACACTACAGAGCTGTGCAGTTTCCAGTGTCCCCAAGATGACTGGCAAATTTGGGGAGGGGAATAGGGGGAACTGCCATTGAAAGCAGGGAGGCAGCAAACAGCTGCTTCACCAGTCCAGAGTGTCCTGAAGAAACACACGTAGGAACGAACTGCTGATATGTGACAGATATGTGATATCAGACATATGTGTCAAAGTGCAAAATTAAAGTTTTAGTAGACTAAAAAGTGATGCCAGAAACAGGCAGGTTTTTTTTTTGCATGTGCATCTCAGAATTACTTCCTTGCTACATTATTTTCCAAGACCATGCTTAGGCCAAAGGGAGGGAAAAAAAAGAATAAAGAAATACTGTGCATTTTTTAAAAATACACATGGAAAATAAATGGCCTTTGTGCTTTTAAGTATCTTGCACTATCTCAGCATTCAAGAGTTCCAGGTATTTAATCCCCCTGAGAGAAGCCCAGGCTAGAGCTCCCCATTCGTTCTGCAGCACGCTCGGTTTGAAGTTCTGTGGGCAGCCTACAAATAAGGGTCACAAACCTCTGATCCGCAGGCTGCGGCACCGCGTAACCTCGGGGCGACACGTTCATACGCTGCTCACGCTCAATGGCAACAGCTGGAGATGGATGAGCAAACAGATGAAAGATACCAAAATGTCAGACAGCCTACCGACTGTTGTTGCCATGAGATCCAACAGTCAACATCAGTCTGATAAGCTATCCGACAGGATGGTAGAGCCAAGAGGATGTCGCGGCAACACGAGGGGACGCTCGGGCAGGACTGAGCACGGGGCAGTCTCACACCTCGCCGCAGAGCTGCCCTCACCAGGGCAGGAGCAGCCTCTAACCTGCCTGGTGCTCACTGGCACCTTGGATAACACTAATCAAAAATCTAATTAATTCCCGTTACTTGCCTGTAGGATAAAAACCAAAAGCACTAACCAAGAATTATTAGAGAAAGGTTACATACACCACAGTAGCAGAATGCTTATCTACTTACTAAAGAGGGAAGAAAGCTCTGTCTTAGTATTTGTTATGTTTGTGTACATTAAAAATAGAACATGCACTGATTCATAACAACGTTTTAAAAAATCTTCATTTTAAAGTGTTAAGTTTGAGGCTCTCTAAAGCCATTCTTAAATATCATTGTTGGATTTTATGTCCAATCTGTTTTCAGTTGAAAACTTTACACTCCTTACCCCCTTTCTTTTCCTGCATCCCTCACAGTGCTGTGATCAGTGACAAACAAGAGGAATTTAGGTTAACAAATCCAGCTTGCTCTTTAACTTGCCCTTTTCAACCCCTGAGCTGCACTGCGAGGGGCCAAGTTACAGCCTGCTACTTCCTCCTGCAAAGCGAGAAGTTCCTAGGGAGGAAAAGAGCGGGGAGAGAAAAGGAGCAAAGGGCTTCGGCACCATTTGTGCAGGAAGGATGAGCAAAGCATGCGGGGTCACAGGAGTGAGGCTTAATAAAGAAACTGCAGATACAGAGGTGGAAAGGAGGAGAAACAGCTTAAAAAGACTGACACGAGAAATTCTGGAATGATCAAAGATGACTTTATAAAGTTTTATCTTGACTTCATTCTAAATATACAGAATAAAAAAAGTCAGCTTCAGCATTTTGACATCGATCAACCCTGCTAACATCATTCCCAAGTTGAAGGGGTGGCTTTCCCAGCCGAGAGCACGTGCAATGCAACGGACTGCAGAGTCCACGTGGGAGGGCAGTGCCATGAGGGACATGCAAGAGTTTCTATGCGGTCTGTATTTATCTGTATACGTTCGATGGTCTGGAAAGTTATGGAAAAAGCAAAACAGCCACCCTTCCAAAACAAAGTTACCCTTAGGCCAGTCTGCAAGTTAAACCAGGAACTGGAATACAGCTAAGTATTAAATTATCAGTTTTGTAAGTAATTTGGACAGGCAACAGCCGTGTTAAACACCAGTCTAACATCACCCTGCCCGTCCCGTATAACACAACTCGGACAAGTAAAGCATTTATACCTTACCTTAACGTTTACAAGTTTGTCAATGAAAGGTCTGCTCTAATAGCCAAATTACTTTCAAAAGAAAATCAAAATATTATAGTTGAAAATTGATGTTAAAAAGTTTTCTCCAGTTTGGAATAATGCTGATTTTTAAACGTATGGAAAGACATGTCATTTTTCATGTCTGCTAAAGCCCATTCCAAGGGTTTTTTCCAGGCTCATTTGGTTTTCTCTTCGGAGTACATCTTCTGCTGCAGTCGTTTGGCATAGCTTTGGGCCATGGAGTTGATTATAGACAAGATAAAATAACAAACCATGGCAATCACCAGTTTTTCAAACATCCACGAAAGCCAGTTTTCCCCCTGAAGAAACAAAAAGACAAAACAAGGAGGAAAATGAAGATGAGT